GTAAATAAGAGGTTGAAAACAACATCAAAGAAATAGGTGAGGAGGACATGACTGAGATAATAAATTTTCAGAGAATAGGGGGGTACTTGAAGAAGAGAAATCGGCTGATCAAACTGATTTTTAAGACAAAAACAGTATGGAACAGGATCCTGCAAGAGAAACCATAGGCGAAGAAATCAATTTAACAGAAGGTTTTCCTAGCTTGCGACAGAACAAGAACAGAATGACAGGAGCTGAGTGAGAGGAAACAGAAACAAAATGGGCTAGAAAGAGAGATAAAGATAGAGTCAGCATAGGAGAACCAGAGCCGGGCAGATCACCAAATGCAAACACACTGAATCACCCTGAGAGCCCCACAGCCAAACATGCTATCCCAACACAGTGCTGGAGAGGAAACTGAAGGAATGGTACACCATCGCTGATGGAATAAGGAATAAGTGGGAGGAATGGCATGAAAGAATCAGAGAGGCATCACCGGTTATCATTGCTCTCACAGAAACCAAGCTCACAGGAATGATAACAGATGCCATCTTTTCTAACGGGATTTCAGACCACCAGGAAAGACAGAGGGGGAGGAGGAGAAGCAATGCTCTTCAATAACCAATGGGATTTTGAGGAGCTGGAAAGAAGAGACAGAGGAGAAGGAAGAGACTATATAATAGGAACACTTCAGTCTGAAGGTCCCATGGTAGTAATTTCAGTGAAGTATAACCCACCACAGAATAGCAGGAAGCCAAGGCAAGAATATGATTAGAGTAACAGAGTAATGGTTGACACGCTGGCTGAAGTGGCCAGAAGGGTTCATGCGAGCAGGGCAAAGCTACAGATTGTAGATGACTGGGAATACCTGGAGCCACATGGGGGCCCAGAAACTTGGAGGGCTAAGATGATGGAGGCAGTACTGAAAAATCTCATGTTCTAACATGTAAGGGACTACCAGAGAGAGAGAGCAGAGGAGAGGAGAGGACGAACCAGCAAGACTGGACCTAGTATTCACCTTGAGTAGTGTAGACAGTGAGGACATCACATATGAAAGACCCCTATGGGACCAGTGATCACGTGGTTCTGAGCTTCGAGTACATAGTAGAGATACAAGGGAGAGGAAAGCAGGAGTGGCCGGACGAATGAAGCCAAACTACAAGATAGGGGTCTACACAGGCATGAAGAATTTCTTGCATGAGGTTCAGGGGGCAGAGAACTGGCAGGGAGATCAGTAAATGAGATGATGGAATGTGTGGATGTGGAATAATCAGGAGGCAGATTAGTCTGGAAAGTGATGTAGAGTAGGCACGAACCATACAGAGCTTTAAGAAGAGATATGATAAGGTTCATGGAGAAGGGATAGTTAAACAGTAGAGATCAGTGAAGAGGCAGGGCCAGAAGCTGTGAATCGACCCCTGCAACCGCAACTAGGTGAGTGCACACACACACACACACACACACACACAAACAGTTAGACTCATGGTTAGACTCAGAAGTGTCCCTGTTTGCAGACGATGCGAAGTTAATGAGGAGAATTAAATCAGATGAGGACCGGGCAGGACTTCAAAGAGACCTGGACAGACTGGACACCTGGTGCAGCAACTGGCTTCTCGAATTTAATCCCGCCAAATGCAAAGTCATGAAGATAGGGGAAGGGCACAGAAGACCGCAGACAGAGTATAGGCTAGGTGGCCAAAGACTGCAAACCTCGCTCAAGGAGAAAGATCTTGGAGTGAGTATAACACCGAGCATGTCTCCAGAAGCAAACATCAACCATGTAACTGCTGCAGCATATGGGCGCCTGGCAAACCTGAGAACAGCATTCCAATACCTTAATAAGGAATCGTTCAAGACACTGTACACCGTGTACGTCAGGCCCATACTGGAGTATGCAGTACCTGTTTGGAACCCGTACCCGTACGTCAAGAAACTAGAGAAAGTGCAAAGGTTTGCGACAAGGTTAGTTCCAGAGCTAAGGGGAATGTCTTATGAAGAAAGATTAAGAGAAATCGGCCTGACGACACTAGAGGACAGGAGGGTCAGGGGAGACACAGATGAGTTAGAGAGATATTAGGAAGTATTTTTTTCAGTCATAGAGTTGTCAGGCAGTGGAATAGCCTAGAAAGTGATGTAGTGGAGGCAGGAACCATACATAGTTTTAAGACAAGGTTTGATAAAGCTTTGAGGGGGGGAAAAGAGAGGACCCATAGCAACCCGGTGAAGAGGCGAGGGCAGGAGCTAAGACTCCACCCCTGCAACCACAAATAGGTGAGTACAAATAGGTGAGTACACATACACATGCACACACACATACACACACACATGCCAAAACACACATACACACACACATACACACACACACACACACACACACACACACAACACACACACCACCACACACGCACACGCACACGCACACGCACACACAAAACACACACACCCCAGTAGGAATTGACAGGTGGACAAAAACAGGATGTTCCAGAGATTGGACACAGTACCAAGGGGGCACAGTTGGAAGCTGAAGACACAGATGAATCAAAAGGGATGTTTGGGGTATTTCTTCAGCCCCCCCAACAG